AAGATGAAAATCTTATAATTAAGGTTTGTTGAAAGGTCTTTCCTAGATGAAGGAAAATTTCAATATAAGAATGTCATGCTAACAAAAAAACTGATCTTCCGAATATCCATGATCGTAACGAGAGTAGTTTATTGTAAAAGTGTCAGATCTTTTCATTTGTTTGTTTGTTGAAATCCAAATATTAAAGTAGTTGATTGAACGGAGCGATCTGTAAGACATATAATATTACCAAACTTGTATCTTAGGATAGAAAACAGGGTGTGGGTGTGTGTGCAGGTGTGGGTGGGTGGTTGTGGATGTGGGTGTCGATGTCGGTGTGGGTGTGGGTGTTGATGAAAATATGAACATCCACACCCACCCTCACCCACACCCACACACCACACCCACACCCACACCCACCCACACCCTAGAGCTGAAAAACGCTCCACAAAGTTTCTAAGGGATGTTTTTTTGACCTTTGACCTTTGACCTTTTGAGATTTTTTCATCTAGAGGATTTTTCGTATGTTCGGATGGACGGAGACCCCTACATATACCCATCAATCGATAGAGCGTCCCCGATAACCCAGGATCGGACACAACATGGGTAGTAGTTGTCCGTGTAATAATAGGGAAAACCTGTCGTACGGACACGTTCCTATAATACGACCGTTACCCCGTTCTTTTGGAACTGGTAACGGACCGTTACCGTTCCTGGGAACGGGATAAGGGAAAAGTTACAAGTTACCCGGGAACGGAGTAACGAGCAGTTACCCTTTCCTTTGGTAACTGGTAACTTTTTATGCGACACCCGTTACCGTTACCGTTCCCAGGTAACGGTCTGGGAACGGTAACTTCCCACCCCTAGTTACGACATCCAAAGCTACATCAGACAAAATAAGGATCGTCCTATTCCGAACATCCAGTCAGCCCGTTGTTTTGCCTTGCTTATTCTTTTACGATCTTCTGCACACAGATATTTACGGAGATCCATACTAAATCTTTGGAAAGAAAGTTCATTTACGAACTCCTGCGAAAAGTCTTTAAAAAAGAAATTCATTTACGAACACCCGAACATCTTGTCAGATGTTCGGAAAGAGTGAAACGAAACGCAAGTCACCCGACGAAACGATTAGAGGAATGTATTGAAGCTGGTAATTATTGATTTTTTTGTGGATAGGCTGAATTCATCGAGAAAAGATTCAGTACATAAGTGTGGTGTAGCTGTGAACAATGTCAGACTTAATAAAGATTTCTTAAACTGTAAGTAGTAACTTTTTGGCAGCCTCGGGGTCAAAACCATAGAGTGAAATTAATAGAACTGAAGCTTCGATGAAAGACGCTCCCTTGTTGGCATATATAGTTACTACACAATATTTCTAAAGAAGTCAATTCAATCAGACTAATATAAGCTGTATTTTTATGATAGTGTAAGGTATAAAGTGATATGGTGTACAGAAAAATTAGTTTTTATAGAATTCTAATTCATGAAACGTTCACTCAAAAAGAAAAGATAGATTAGATAAGATGTTCAAATTGTTAGGGGTTCAATTTTATGTCTTGATCATTGAATGCTGTGAGTTGGTTTAAAATGAAATTCTTCCAGCAACAAATGCACACAATGGTATCGCAACCATTGTTAATGCATGGCCAGTTTGATAGAGATCAGCTGAATAACCATTATGATTCATTCCACGTGAACCTTCAGACAAAGCCGCACGCTGAAATAATGCAGCAACAAAGAAAAGAAAAGCTGCCAATATATTCAAGCGCCCACCAAGCACTTTGAATTGTTTGTTAGGTAATATTAAGATAATAGTGGCAATCACACCAAACGCCACAAATAATATACCAAGTATTGATAAAGCTGCTGCATGTCTCAGTCGAAGATAATAATCAGTTGATAAACCTACTGATGTTGTTATTGGTTGTTCATAAGCACTTACTGAAGAAAGTAAATTTGCATTACTCCAGCATGTACCATTTAAAGCGTAACAAGTTGTGAAAAAATTTGTATACCATTGGGCTATTAATCCAGTTGTGTCATATTCAACATACCACGATCGCGTACCAAGACCAACGCAAAGTAAAAGTAAACCAATCATAGTGAAAGTAATAGAAACTATGCATGCTTCTTTTTCGTGACGTTGCGGAAACTCTTTTGTAGAGCTCATTGTTTTAATTAACAATCAGACTACACAAAAAGACGAATGAAGGTTGTTTTTTCAATAGTTCTGAAAAATATTTCTACATATTAAGATCGATGTGAAACTATAGTCTCAAAATAGTCATGGATAGAGATCGCAAATCAAGAAATTTGTTTATAAGCAGAAATTATGAATAACACTCTAAAAAAGTCGGTTTTTTACCGAACCCCAGAAAAAGGTTCCGGTGATTTCTAAAAGCGTCCAAATGTGACCAAAGTCTCGAAAAAAGGATAAAAAAATGTATGAAACCTTTATAGGTTCTTACCATGTACCCAGGATAAGAACCTTTTCCCGCGAAACCCTTTTTTAAGTTTCGTACAGCAGAAAAAGGTTTCGTAGGAAAATACGAAACCTTCTGAGTTTCATATGAAACTCTAGGAAATCATGAGGGTTTAGTATGAAACTATTAGGGTTTAGTACGAAACTATTAGGGTTTAATATAAAACTCTAAAGGTTTCGTATTTTCCTGCGGAACCTTTTTCTGTTGTACGAAACTTAAAAAAGGTTTCGCGGGAAAAGGTTTTTATCCTGGGTACACGGTAAGAACGTATAAAGGTTTTGTAGATTTTTTTATCCTTTTTTGAGACTTTGGTCACCTTTGGACGCTTTTATAAATCGTCAGAACCTTTTTGCGGAGTTCGGTAAAAAACCGATTTTTTTTAGAGTGAATAGATTTGAAACAGAATACTAGAAGGTATCTTGTGTCTATTTCACGGGTATATTCGAACTACCTGACATTATTCAAAGCCATGAAAAACAATACGAACTAGTCAAGAAAATGTTAATAAATCTCGTTAGTTAGAGAAATGAGGTCCGAATATTTAAAAGATGTAAATAACAGCACATATATCCTAATGACATATGCAGAATCTCTGATATCTTCTTGCAGTGAGACTACCGTTTCACTGAAGTCAAATAGGAAGAACAAAACAAAAAGTTATTAAAAAATGAAAGATACTTTGGATCTTCTAATTGATGTGAATTACACAAAAATGCTTTTCTGTGCTAAAGTATGGTAGCTTTATAAATTGGAATACCTTTTTAATATGACATGATTACATATACGTTCGAGAAATGTCATCTATTTAATACGGCTATTATTGAAACACGAGCTTTTTTTACATGACTTTATATACAACGACATTTCGGGTCTACTATGCACATACAACTATGTATTATTCATCACGAATTGAAATTTTGAAGTGCTTTATTGTCAAGCTACCCTATTTATTATGATGAATCAAACAAAAAGAATTCAGAGAGAATGCTCTGACAGTCTCGAATTTCCTAGCAACAAGCTCGTTTTCTCATACGCAGTAAATAATCATTGCTCGGTGATTGTGCTTGAATCATAAATTCTCAAAACAATCAGTTTATTATGAACTTTGTATTTAGATGAATATATTGTGGAGTTTCGTATCGATTTGTTGAACTTCGAAATATTTAAAAGATCAAAACATATTCTATTTCACGTTCAATAAAGCGACACAAATTCCTAAAGATTCCTTTGAACACCCACTCTCGAATATATTTTTAGAGACATTTATTAAAATATATTATACTCTTTTTTTAGATCTAGCGCTTTTCAATTAACTAGATTGTCATCGTCACTAAAGTGGTTACATGAATGATCAGAATTTGCCTCGTTGCAAAAAATTGAGAAATAAAAACGAGAATGAGAGTAAAAGCGATTCAAGGACACATGCATATGTGACCTATACTCACTTCTTTAAGGAAGGTAAGATGTAATTAGGTCTTTTCGTGGATATTATCTGTCATAACTGAAGAATTTTTCTTTTGCTCCACGTATCCATATACGCAACAGGGTTGCCGATATTTTAGATAGCAGGCAAGCATTACGTCTATTCAAATACATCAACAATTCGATCCATGCCAATGGATGTTTTTCTTTTTCTATTATTGATATTCAATTGACGGCATTAGCTTACTTGTTGTCAAGCAGCTAACAATGAAAAAGAATGAAAGAAAAGTACTGTCAATAAAATGTTTATTTAGATTGTTACTTCAAATAAAAGCAACCTGTTGGAAATTCAATAATGGAGCACGGTGTATGCATCAAGTACATTTTTAATGAGTCTCCATACATTTTAAAAAGCATTTTTTTCGATTGAATCTGAATGGAAGAAGTTATTTTTCTGGATGCAAAATTAAAATAGTTTCACATAGCGCGCAACTGATCAATGCTCAGAGTTAGAGTGTTCGTGCGAGATTGCAGATCCGATAGATTTCGAACAGTCAGAAAACGGTATTTAAATTGTTCACTGGTTGAGAGAGACACTCATTAAATCGTTACAACTCAAATAAAGAGTGTTCCTTAACACAGAAGTATAGTTGTTGTATGAATCGTTTTATGTTAGAAGAAGATCGTGAATCTGAGATAAAAATTGAAGTTTTATGACGTCCCAAGTCTGTATAGTTCAGAATGAAAAAATTCTACAATTTTACTGAAATGATTACAGGCTAATTAAGCCGATATATCTAACTTCTTGTTGCAGACTATAAGAAAAAAGCAAGACAATACCTGAGAGATATATATGCATTCCATGGATTTTAACTCACAGTGATATGATGACGACAAGCAAGGAATGAAATTTCGTATGAACACAGGCGTAATGCATCACAGATATTTTTTGATATGCCAACAGACGAGATGCATTATACTAAACAGAAAAAGATTGAGAAAAATTGAATAAAAATCCCAGTGTTATATGTACTTCAAAAGTGAACTAGATAGGTGAGTCATTCCAGCATTTGCAGACGTCAAAATTATCCCAGCAATATCTTCTTAATTAAAACTTGATTTTTATTGATTACTGTTCAACTAATAGGACTTGAAGGCAGATGGACTTCACACTTAAGTTTTCCGTCCCACAAAATCTCGAAGTATCATCTTTGGTCGAAAGATAGCGCTTTAAGCTTTAATCAAGTGTAGCGTGGATAAAAAAAGTATCAATGTTCGCTTATGAGAATCCGTGAGAGAACCACCCTTCTTTGAAGCAGAGGCGCCAAGAAAAAAATTTTTTCGATTTTATTTTCTTAAATAATAGGTCGGGGCAAACCATTGTTAAATCCAAGATATTAAATCATTTGAATGTTCCTATGAGAAACAGCAGAAAAAAAACAAGTTTCGAGGGTAAATTTTACTCTGTAAAATTAATAACATGAGAGTATACTCAGTATTTTAAGATTTCCTCGAGGCTGGTCAGTAAATGAAAGATTTCAATGCTACTAGCATTCAAAAAAGAACTTTCTACTGAGAAAAGTAATGGGGGTAACATTTTATATGAATTTTAGCATCCAAAACTTTACTCCCAATATCTACTATGATGCACTGTATTTCTGCATATACCATTACTTCGCGATGACCAAAATGCCGTGGGCAACACACCAATAGAATGTTGTGATTTGATACAATCTAAGAGAGAGGAAGTATACAAGGTATACAAGCCACAACCAAGCTTCATAGTTAAACAGGTCATGAGCAAAAAAAGCAGGTATTAAAACCCAAAGAATCTAGAGAAGAAAGCAAATGTCATAATAACAGCGATTTCAATAGCATCTAACATGCACACGAAATCGCACATATACATCATCCCACCAGGTGAGGGTGCCACCAAAGAACTTTTACGAGATACGATTCACACATCATCGCACCAGATGTAGGTGCCACGAAAGTCTTTCATGAATCATAACAGGCATCATCGCACCATATGAGGGTGCTACGAAAGGATTTCCAAGGAGCGGAACTCACACATCATCGCTCGAGATGAGGGTGCCAGAAAAGAACTTTCACGAATCACAAATGACATATCATTACGCCACGGGGTTTATTCGTCAAAGCACATCCCTGAGTCATTATTTTTACAGTCTGCCGAAAAATTCGAGAGGATATGAACAATGAAGAATTGGTTTTCGTAAGCACCCTCATGGAAGACTGGACATTCATTTATGTTTTATTACTTCTGAACATATCCTTTTAGCTCTTTCATCATTATTTACTTTGTCAAGCCCTATTTCTCAGTGCATCATTGTCAATGATAGAATAATGATTTCTTCGGTACTATATGTAGGGACGGTCATGAATGTCACTTTGGCAGCTCATAATGTAAATGTTGCATGAAATTTTATGTGCATTTCAACGTTGCAAATTATTGCCCCCCTTACCCCCATACCTTCTCAGAAATGTGGGGGTAAAAATTGGATGCTAAAATTCATATAAAATTTTACCCCCATTACCCCCATGCCTTCTCAGTGTAGATCTGTGGAAGTTTGTCGGAGAAGTGGATGCTAATGCTATTGGCACCGAGATTCCGTATTAACCCAGACTGGTACGCTCGTTGAAGTTCGCGGCCGTCTCATTCGATAGAGAAATGATCGGACTACAATTTTGTTCTATTTTTGTAACTAACATATGAAATGACAAACTCTTTTTTAGGTCAAAAACTTAGAATTCGAAAATATGGCTACCATTGAAATGACGGTATTTCGGGCTTTTCCTGAGCTGTGTATGAGATATTATTATGATTTTGTTACTCAACGTCGATCTAAGTAAGACACATTTCGTGATATTCAATCATCCTAGAGGGGAAAAGTGGGTCCAGTTAAGATTGGCCTTACTGTGTGCACCCTAGTTAGTGATCATCAGTCTCATCCTGCAAAACTGGATTAGAGAAGTTGTATTAAATTGATCTTTTGGTTTTACCAAACGTTCTCCACATCATCGGTTTACCGTTTGGTAGTCCTATATGGAAGCTGCAAGTCTGTAAATTTTTGAAGCGGAAAAGTCACTGATGAGTCGAGACTAGTCTGTCTATATATGTATCGCAGGCTGGTTCTGGATATTTGATCATTTTTTAATAGATTTCCACTTAGAAAGCAAGAAATTGCATCAAAAACAATATGATATTCGGAATCAGCACGAAAACCACTGAGTTGATTCATGTATGTATCATTGGTTTCTCAGACCATTGCTTTCTTTCTTTCGAAAATTTATGCTCTACTCCGTTGAAGGCTCAAGAAAAAAAAGAGATCTCTAAAAGCGTCATTTCTACTGACGAATGAAATAAGCTAGGTTGTATAATTTTAAAAGAAATAGAATACTACATGAATACATGAAAAAACCACCGCTTTGAGAGATCTCATTTTTAGTTCAGCCCAGAGAGAGAGCACAGGGACAATTCTTGATAGAAAAAAGCAAAAGTCTCAGGAACCAATGAAACACATGAATTACTTAGGGTATACCAAAAGTTCTGATCACAGTTTTTAAAATTTAATAAAGCAATAAATATTGAATATTTTACTAAGGCGATATATAGTATAACGTCTCGTCTTTAATAATATATAGAGCAACTCTCTCTTAGACTTAGTTCTAACATCCTTTCAGACTAAATCTATAATTTTACAGACAATGCAAATATTATTAATTCTTGTTCAATGGTCAGGTACATTCTGGAACTTTCTATTGGTCACTCTCTCGTCACGTTTTATGACGTCATGTTCTAGAATATTACATTTCGATAGTATATATAAATGAGAGGTCGTTCGCTGTTAGTTCATTTGTACCGTACTCGACTTAAAATCGTAATAGAATTTGATTTCAATCTTAAAAGAAGACATTAAACATGACTGATGAATTCAATCGATATTATATCAAAATTCGAGCTATTTTGGGAATAGATTCAAAAACAATCTTTGACGAACTTACAGAGGCATTGGGACCTGATGCTCCATCATATCCAACAGTCAGAAGATGGGCGAAACGTTTTCGTGAAGGAAGAGACGATGTCACTGATGATCCTCGATCTGGTCGTCCGATTTCGGTGCTTACAGATGAAAATGTTGAACGCGTTCGACAAGTTATCGAAGATGATCCACACTCAACTTATGATGATATTATGGGTGAGACTGATCTATCACGTGGTACAATAGAACGAATTATTCATGATCGTCTAAAGATGAGAAAAGTTACATCACGTTGGGTTGCTCATCAACTTACTGACGAACAAAAACAAAAACGACTTAGAATTTGTCGTCAAAATTTAGAGAAATTTAGAAATGGAACATGGCATTTATGTGATGTTATTACTGGTGATGAGACATGGATTTATCACAGGCAGATTGGTCGAAAGTCAAGCAATGCTACTTGGGTTGGCGAAAATGAACTACCAAGAACCATTGTTCGTCGGAATAGATTTGAACCTAGAACACTATTTTGCTTCTTCTTCAAATCCACTGGTTCTCTTCTCATACACAAAGTAGATAAGGGCAAGACAATCGATCATGACTACTATATTGATAATTGTCTTATACCTGTTATCAATGAAATAAGAAAAAAGGAAAAGTCATCACGTACTACATATAAAATGCTTCATGATAATGGTCCTCCTCATACTCATCCAGATGTTATTGATTATTTAATGGAGGAAGGAATCGAAATCATTCCACATCCACCATATTCACCAGATCTCGCACCGTGTGACTTTTGGCTAAATGATTATATCAAGAACAAGTTGACGGATCACACAAACGAAGAATCATTAGCTCAAGAGGTTTCCACCATAGTGAAGAATATTCCAATAAACGAGTTTAAAAAGACTTTCGATAAACTGTTAGAAAGAATGAAACTTTGTATCGAAAATAATGGTGATTATTTTGAGCATTTAATAAAATAAAATAACGAATGTCTCTTCGTTTCTGTATTGTGGTTTTATGTTGGCATGATCTTTTCTTGGCTATAAATACTATAGATTTAGTCTGAAAGGATGTTAGAACTAAGTCTAAGAGAGAGTTGCTCTATATATTATTAAAGACGAGACGTTATACTATATATCGCCTTAGTAAAATATTCAATATTTATTGCTTTATTAAATTTTAAAAACTGTGATCAGAACTTTTGGTATACCCTAAGTAACTCAGTTTTTTGAGTTACTTCCGAATAGGATACTGCTTTTGATTGAAATGATACATTTGTAATAAAAAACTGGTCAAAGATAACACAAATATGTAAAAAATTCTGCTCTAAGGGTGTGGGGTGTGGGTGTGGGTGTGGGTGTGGGTGTGGGTGTGGGTGTGGGTGTGGGT